CTTCCTTTCCCTTTTCTCTCTTCTTTTCCTTTCCTTTTTTCTATCTTCCTTCCTTTTCCTATCTTCCTTTCCTTTTTCTCTTCCTCTCCTTTCCTTTTTTCTATCTTCCTTCCTTTTCCTATCTTCCTTTCCTTTTTCTCTTCCTCTCCTTTCCTTTTTTCTATCTTCCTTCCTTTTCCTTTTTCTTTCTTCCTTTCCTTTTTCTCTCTTCCTTTCCCTTCCTTTTTTCTATCTTCCTTTCCCTTCTTTTTTCTATCTTCCTTCCTTTTCCTTTTTCTTTCTTCCTTTCCTTTTTCTCTCTTCCTTTCCCTTCCTTTTTTCTATCTTCCTTTCCCTTCTTTTTTCTATCTTCCTTCCTTTTCCTTTTTCTTTCTTCCTTTTCCTTTTTCTATCTTCCTTTCCCTTCCTTTTTTCTATCTTCCTTCCTTTTCATATCTTGCTTTCCTTTTTCTCTCTTCCTTTCCTTATTTCTATCTTCCTTCCTTTTCCTATCTTCCTTTCCTTTTTCTATCTTCCTTTCCCTTCCTTTTTTCTATCTTCCTTTTCCTTTTCCTTTCTTCTTTTCCCTTCCTTTTTTCTCTTCCTTCCTTTTCATATCTTGCTTTCCTTTTTCTATCTTCCTTTCCTTATTTCTATCTTCCTTCCTTTTCCTTTTTCTCTCTTCCTTTCCCTTCTTTTTTCTACCTTCCTTCCTTTTCCTATCTTCCTTTCTTTTTTCTATCTTCCTTTCCTTTTTCTTTCTTCCTTTCCTTTTTCTCCCTTTCCTTTCCTTTTCCTATCTTTCTTTCCTTTTTCTCTCTTCCTTTCCTTTTTCTATCTTCCTTTTTCTCTTCCTTTCCTTTTTCTATTTTCCTTTCCTTTTTCTATCCCTTCCTTTTTCTCTTCCTTTCCTTTTCCTATCTTCCTTTCTTTTTCTCTCTTCCTTTCCTTTTTCTTTCTTCCTTTTCTTTCCTTTTTCTATCTTTTTTCCTTTTTATATCTTTTCTTTTTTTTCTTCCTTTCCTTTCCTTTTCTCTCTTTTTCTTTTTCCTTTCTTTTTCCTTTCCTTTTCCCTCCCCTTCCCATTCATTCCCCGTCCCTTCCCCCTCTTCCTTTTCCTCTTCGCTTCCCTTTTGTTCATTTCCCCATCCCCCTCTTCCTCTTCCCTACCCTTGGGGAACAGGGTCCCTATATCCCTGGCTGTATTTTTATGGGGTTCCAAACTTTCCTTCTTAAGCGTAGTGGAAGGGGTTCATTCAATTAAAGCCATGCTCCAAGTAATAAATCCATCGCAAGCAAGACTCCGAGGCAGATAAATTCTTCAAAGATTACTTTTATTAGGAATTATCCTATTGGCACTTATCTGGTGAAAACCGACTCTGAGGGTCTCCAGCGGTTTTCACCAAAATTAAAAGTGAAAGTTTTTTTCACTTTTTCAAAACAATCAGTCACATGGTCCAATCACGGTTCGGTCTGGTTGCCTGGTGACATNTTTCTCTCTTCCCTGCCTCCCTGAGGCGGCCCTGAGAAAAGTGATTTACAATTAGTCCTCAGCCTTATGATCTTTCTTCTGTTCCTTTCCTTTTTCTCTCTTCCTTTGCTTTTTCTTTCTTCCTTCCTTTTTCTCTCTTCCTTTCCTTTTTCTTTCTTCCTTTCCTTTTTCTCTCTTCCTTTCTCTTTTTTCTCTCTTCCTTTCTTTTCCTTTTTCTTTCTTCCTTTTCTTTTTCTCTCTTCCTTTCCCTTCCTTTTTCTATCTTCCTTCCTTTTCCTTTTTTTTCTTCCTTTTCCTTTTTCTCTCTCCCTTTTTTCTATCTTCCTTCCTTTTCCTATCTTCCTTTCCTTTTTCTTTCTTCCTTTTCTTTTTCTCTCTTCCTTTCCCTTCCTTTTCCTATCTTCCTTTCCTTTTTCTATCTTCCTTTCCTTTTCCTATCTTCCTTCCCTTTTTTTCTCTTCATTTCCTTTTTCTATCTTCCTTTTCTTTTTCTTTCTTCCTTTCCTTTTTCTGTTTTCTTTTCCTTTTTCTATCCCTTCCTTTTTCTCTTCCTTTCCTTTTCCTATCTTCCTTTCTTTTTCTCTCTTCCTTTTCTTTTTCTATCTTCCTTTTCTTTTTCTATCTTCTTTTCCTTTTTTATTTTCCTTTCCTTTTTCTTTCTTCCTTTTCTTTCCTTTTTCTCTTTTTTCCTTTTTCTATCTTTTCTTTTTTTCTTCCTTTCCTTTCGTTTTCTCTCTTTTCCTTTTTCCTTTCTTTTTCTTTTCCTTTTCCCTTCCCTTCCCATTCATTCCCCGTCCCTTCCCCCTCTTCCTTTTCCTCTTTGCTTCCCTTTTGTTCATTTCCCCCTCCCCCACTTCCTCTTCCCTACCCTTGGGGAACAGGGTCCCTATATCCCTGGCTGTATTTTTATGGGGT